TTTTTTTCTTTTTTCAAATGAATCAATCTTGTAATGAATTTTTTCATCAGTTGTTGACTGTGATTAATCACCCTCGCAGCGAGCAAGTACGATAATTGGCCGTCATGCAATTTTTCACGCAAGAGGGTATTTTTTTTTCACCCTTCCTGATTTGAATATTACAGCGCTAAGCGTAGCGCCAAAAAAGAAATGCGTCTTTTTGGGAGAAGGAAAAGAAGCCGTGGATGAAAATAAACAAAAAGAGAGAATCGGAGCCGCGATTTAATAAATCTGCCCGGGAGATTCACAAACAAAAGAGCCGCGTGTGCTTTACAGAAATAAAGCGTCGGCGTAAACTAAACTCCTGCGCGAGAGAGAAAACCGTGCTGCTTTAATGCATATTTCATCGTTTTGCAGCAGCGAGAGAAGCGGAAACAAACGCGCTTGGCAATGTTTAGGAGTGAGCTTGATATCATAAATTTCGCATCACGTTCACAAGATCAACAGTGTTGAGCGCCGGAAGATTATCCACGGATTAGTGAAATATTTATATCCAGAGCGATTTTATTCCAACCGTATCATTCGCACAATAAATAATGCCACCGAATCGTTTTTCCATTTCGATGTAATCGTCAATGTGCATTAAATAGAGCGATAAAAAAAATTTATCTGACCATCGAGTTCAAATGATTGAGATTTATAGAATAAAAAAGCTCAGATTCATAATAGAGTGGAATGAAAAATATATAGAATAAAAATATAATCGAGTGTTTAATTTTTTTTTAATTAATATATTTTGTTTCAAAAAAGATTGCAAGTGCTTTAGTAAAATATTGTTTAAAAATTTCAAATCCATTAAAGAAGAATTCAATCAAATGCAACACAAAATTAAATTACTTTATATTTCAAAAACAAAAATTATCAACTAAAATTAGTCAACTCAGCACTATTCAATAAACAGTAATTCAATTTTCAGCAAAGAGCAGGTGCGGTATTTGGTTGGAAGCGAAGGTGATTCCATTTTGCTGATTAATTACTCGACGCTCGATGTTTGTGTTTGCATTATTTGTGTGCAAGTTCACACATGTTCTTGGATGCAAAAATGATTCAGGCACTCAAGAGGGTTGGTAGCGAGGGAAATGGAATGATGGTGGCTGATGAATGATGATGACGCGACTGCCGGTGCCGAAATTAGCGAGTTGCCGTTCGGCTTGATACATCTCCCTTCCAAACCCTCATTTCGGACGCATTAATTCGCCGCGCAAATTGATTGTCGTGCACGCCGCGTCTGAGCAAATGTCTGCTCTGCCATCCGCCTGACAGAAAATTAACGCGAGTTGTGATTCAATCTTTGCAATGCTTTCTGAATTAATTTCTGACGCAGTGCTTGACACTGAGATAACAAACTGCATTTTGAATTTTGAGAAGAGATTTAGCAATGCTCAAGTAAAATTGATGGAAATAAATAAATAAATATACCAATAATAATGTATTATTGTGCGACAAAAAAATAACTTTGAATAGTATGTTTGATTATGTCACTAAAATTTTGTTCAATTTCAATTTCTGGTTTATAAATTACATTATTTTATTGCCTCTAAATACATTACAAAGTCTTGAAAAGTTTTTTTAATGCAATGAATCAAATTAAATAAAAGAATTAGGAGACTAAATTAACAATAAAAAAGAAACAAATGAAAGCACCGAAATTGAGAAACCCAGAGAAAGAAAATAAATACAATTGCTTGAATCAATTCTGCACTAATTTCTCCATTCACACTCAACTATAAATAAATAAATTATATTTATATCATCTAGCTTTCATTTATTTGTAGTTTTTTTCTCCGCTAAATATATATTTTTTATAAATTAATTTGAATAAATACGTTAGATGTAGATGAAGTTAAAATTTACTAAACGAATGGAGAATAATTAAATAAATATACATTAAATTGATGACTCTTGTATAGATCATAATTATTTCTTCCCGATTTTTTTCATCCTTTTTAAAAACCAGTACAAGCAGGAATGAAGTGATCAAGAGTCCCGCTCATAAATCCGTCGGCAGTCAAGAGGGATCGCAATCTCCGAAATTGCCACACTCGTGTATAATAAATAAAAATACACATATAAGGAAGTCTGCATTATTTTCCAGGGTCCGTCCGCGTCCATTTGACACGATCTGGTCGTAAAGAGGGCCATCGTCGCGCGCAAACCATGTGGGCAACTTATCTGCGGCAAAACGATGGCAATAACTGCACAAGGGTGCAAAAGGAAAAAGGCGGCTTCTGCTTCGGCAAACGGCGCTCGGACGCGGACAAACGGCCTGCCAGCATTATTATACGAGCGCATAACGCGGCCGTAATGGAACGGAGCGGGAGAGGATTTTCGGAGCAGTTTATGCCAAACAACCGAGTGCCATGTGTACAAATATATGGGACGGCATGACCAGAGCGAACTGCAGCCGCAAACATTTACGCTTCAATTCGCCAGTACACTGCATCGTGTCGCATAATTGGCAATATTGTGTGATGAAACAAAATTGCAACAAATAAAACAAAATTATTGCAAAACAACCAGCGGGTTCTATATGCATATAATAAATTGTGTCTTTTCAGAGCATTGGGTATTTCCACTGAGTTTCAGATTCGACGATTAATTATTACATTGAAAATAAATAAATAATAAATAATCGAAGGTTTACAAGGGATGCTCAGAAATATCGTCATGTATTTTGCACAAAAGTGAAAATTGCTACCCAAGAATAAGCTGAAATTTGAAGATATATAAGATCAGAATTGAATATCTCATATTTTCTACCGGTTTAAGTCTCCGATTGTGTCCTGAGAAAATTTTACGCTTCTTATCCTTGATGCTAAAAACTGATTAATATCATCTCTCTCCTGATCCTTCAAAGTTAATTCAAATATAATTAATATCAAATTTTATCTTATTTGCTGGGAAGATGAATTTTGTAACAGTATAAATTTTATAATAATGAAATATAGCTCAGCAATACATAACTACTAGCAAATAGTTTATTCATTTATGCCACAATTATAGTTATATCACTGGTGGCACTAATATCTAAAATAAATAGCAAGAAATTTATAATTTTACTACAATAACTGTTTAAAGAAGAAATGAGTAAAAAAAATATACGCATCGTAAAATAAATTAAAATGTTTAAACTAAAATGAAAAAAATAAACAATTAAAAATGTAAATTATATAATTACTTTTATTTAGTTTAGATTTCAACTTCTCTAATAATGTTTTTTTATCTTTTAACTAGGCATAGCAAGTTAACTTATTGATCGCCGGTCGCTGTTTGCCATTCTGCACTACTTGTGACACAGTCGGCACCAACAGTGGAGAGACAATAATGGCCAAGTGTGCGCCCAACGACCAACAGGTGACGGGGCAAAAAGTGCACACGAATGCTAACTAGGGAAGGGAAGAGCAGCTCCTCCCTGGGCTTCCTGCGTCCGTCTGCCTCGTCCTAGCTCGGTTAATATTAAATGATAATCACGAACAACGAGCGGTCGGTCCGTCGTTGGCTTGCTGGCTGCCTCATTAAATTATGACGCCAACCTCCCGCGTGCTAATTAATTGAAACGGACCGGCTCGCGATGCAAATTTAATTTTAATTTCACGGTCTGGGGTGATACGGCCGGATCATTTCCCGTTTGATGACGAGCATTGCACACACGATAATTGCCACGGTTTGGAAATTCAGTTTGGTACTGATTGGCTGGGAATTGTATTGGATGTGAAAAGTGATTCACATCTGACCTGACTTTGTTATTAAAAAATAAAAATAAAATAACAAATACAAATTCGATACCGTGTGATTAGAATTAAATTTTCCGATTTAATTTAAAAATAAATTGAGCTTTAACAAAAACTCCTCTGTGAATAATTTGAGCAAAAAATGTTTTTTTTTTCCGAAACGCTATTTTGGTTTTGAATTTAATTTCAGATTTTCCTCGATGGGTTTTTTTTCGAGAAAAAAACAAAATAAATTATCATGCTGTACAAATTTTTGATGTGGGCTGCAGCCATAAATTATGACAGAATATTTTTGTGTTCTATGAAACAATAAAAGATAAAAAAGCATTGAGGAAAAAAATTTAAATTCAACACTCTCAATGAAGTTTTAATACAAAACTAATTTTAATAGTTCTGATTATTCTCAAAAATTCTATTGTAGATGCTTTTCATCTTTTTAAAAATTTCAGTTTTAATTTTCATTATCATTTAACCAGTTAAATAATCTATTAATAAAAATGCTATTTTTAAAATTGTTATTATACCAACAATAATAAGCGCTCAATAAGAAAAGTTACATTTTTGCAGATAAATTCTCTTTTGAACTAGCACAAAATTCAGAGAGCATCTTTGTCAAACTGAGAATGGAAGCTTCACTGGTCGCTTTCAGTCCGAATCAGCTCCGAGCCCAACACTGCCCTATCTATCCGTCTCGTCCCTTTCGAGTTGCATGGAAAAGTACCGTGGCTATCTCGAACCCGGCGGCAGAATTTGCATTCGCGACGCCCCGCGAACCACCCCGCACGTATTTCCGGCGCCTCTTTGACGTGAATGGCGCCAGTCGAGTACATAATGGAGTGTCGAGTGGATGAACCGGCAGCAGCCCAGGTGTGTTTGTCACACACGCTACATTTTGAGAGCGGGAGAACGAAAGCGGACACCCTTTTCGTGTGTCCGATTGTCAAAAGGGTGTTTTTGTGACCGTGGGTGTGGTGTGTGTGTGTGTTTATTATGTGCCTCCAAAAACCTAGAGAGTTAAAATTATAGCCTCAAAAAGCGACAAGCTACTTTTGATTCAATGTTTTTAGATGAAATGTGTTTTAAATTTTTATCATCTTTAGAAAGTTTATCATTTTTTGTAGATTTACGGAAAAAACCAGATCTAATTTCTATGAAATTGTGATTTAGGATGGGATGTTTGATTTCATTTTGATTTTTTTTTTTTTAAATTTTTATCAGATTTATGCTTACCTGTGCACTATGTTTGCTAGAAGGTCATTGTGTTTCAACCTGTAGTCAATATCCACAGCATCGTAGTTCACAGTCAGCGTACCAGCCTTGATGCATCTCTCCTGCAACCGGAAATATCGTAATTTTAGGGAAGAAAATGATACTTAAAAAAAACTGAATTAAGCTGTCGGTTAATAAATAGTGACAAATAAAATATAATGCAGAATTTCATATTTAAACATCTATTAAAAAATGATGAAAATGTGTGAAATAATTTTTTTTATGAATTTTAACACCAAAATACCCTGCCTAAGTAAATTTGATTAATTGATCTGAATTATTCGGAAGGAAGGGTAGCTAATAAATGTCACATGCAGACATTTACGCCTCATTACTGTCTCCTAAATTTTTTCTGGTGAATCATGACATAGACGACCGACGGTCGAGCTTAAAACAAGAAGAAATCCCAGGGAGTCGAGCAGATTGTCTGCCAATTTTTTAGCAGGCATTGTGTGAGTTATTCAAAGGCAATAAAAACGAGTGACTTACGTATTCCTCGGCTGGATGGGCTCTGAATTCTCTAGCAAAGACGTCTAATATCTTCTCGCCGACCCATCTACCTTTGGTGAACGTGGTGAATGTAAAATAGTACGGGTACACTTTGCGAAGACCTGTTGGCAGAACGACAAATAAACATTAGACTTGTGTGCCGAACGTGGTGGCATTTTTTTTCTTCTTTGCGACGACGGGTCTAGACACGAAAATTTCATTATTCAGATTTGCCTTTCTTCTCCCCACGGAGATGAGAAGCTTCCAAGGAATAATGTCGCGAGCTAAGAGCTAATATTTGGTCTAGGCTTCACTTTGAGCGAGATAAAACTGCGAGTTTACGACTTCTGAGTGTAAAAAAAATATTAACTTCTGCTTGAATAAATTAATAAAAGTGAGTCGTTTTGGTGAAAAGAAAGAGTTATTTTCACCAAGGTTATCTCAACTCCAAGCTATAAAGATAGTCATTAAAAAGCTTAAAACAAAGCATTCATGGACGTTAATTGAAATAAAGTAAAATAAAAAAGAAAAATTTCTATATTTAACATTTTCATATTAAGAAGAACCAAATTCAATAAAAAAAGTGCTCCTAATAGTATAAAATTTAAAATTACCGCAGAATATAAAATCCGATGCAGGCAAAAATAATAATAATTTCAAATATTTCTTGATTTCGTTCCTCAAAAATTTTACTTTTGGCTTGCAAAATTTCTAGTATTTTATAAATATAATAATTTAGAACTGAAAATTTCCATTCACCACTCACAAAGAACTCTCAAGCATTACATTTTTGTGTGCAAAAACTTCAAACCAGACCAAGGTTCAAAGCTTCTCAAGTGCATGATTTGCATAGCCGAGCGCAAAATTGGGGCCAAATGGCAGCTGGTGCCGTTCTTTAGTTGAAATGGGTGGAAAAAGCAGCATTGTGACCGTCGTTACCGCGACCGACAGAACTTTCAAAAGCTCAAATTAACCCCTCTCAAAAGTGATTTGCGGAACGACCGGCGCGCTTTTTGATCTTTTCAACGCAAAACCCTTCAAACACAAAACAAGTGCAAACACAAACAACTCGTTGCCGTGAATTTACGGCCGCATTAATATTTTCGTCTCAGGCCACACAAGTGCGCGCAACTTGGCATCAAAGGAACAATCCCATAATTCCGCGAGTATGCACGTAAATAAAACCGGGGCTGGCTAAGAACAATAATAATTAGCAGACCGTTTAATTAATAGTCATAGTGGAGAAGGAAAAAGCGCCGCCCACGTTTTCCGCCCGATGCACAAATGGGCTTCTATGTAAGTACCCAGTGTGCTACATGACAACAGCAGCCGGAGTGGATTTAAAACATTAATAATAATTACTGATAGTATGGCGAGTGCGTGCGAGGTGCTTTCAGGGGAGAGAAAGCGGTGCACGCGACCAAGATACGATTATTAGACGCACACCCTGCTGCTTCTGGCAAGTAATATGCAGTACATTATGCGGAGATAGAGACGTTCAGGGGCAGATGCAGCAAAATATTTCTCAGAAATTTCATTAATTTGAAATTTTTTTATCTCAGAAATACAAATAGTCAGTTTATAAAAATGAAATAAATTTTAATAGCGAAATGCAATTATTTATATTTTTTTAACGTTTAAAAAACTTATTTTGTTTATTCATTTCAAGAAAATTATGTATAGCAGCCGATCTGATTATTGGAAATCACCATGAGGAGCTCGCAGTTTATTCACCAAGAAAAGGATTTTGTTTCAAATAAATTTATTTACTGGCCTTTTCTGTTCATGAAAAACGTACTCAATTAATTCAGTCTTGATCATCTTTTGATTCTCATAGTGAAAAAGAAAAGAAATTTTGAGATCAAGATTACTGATTGATATTTTTTTTACTTGATGTGAAACGATGTAGCTCATTTCGATAATATATAAAATGTTGTATCAGTTTCAGTCAGGTTAATTTTGAGAGCACAATATTATTGTTATTATTAAACACATTGTTCAATTTCAAAAATAATCTAATCAAAGATCATTCATTTTTTCAAACGTTCATAAATCCAAACATAATAATAAATTATAATCGAAATTGCTCTTGCATATGATATTTTCTCTTCAGAATAAAATGAAGTTGCTGTGTGTCCGGTTTAAAAAAAAATTCAAATTACCAAATTATCAAGTGGCATGAAGTTCCCTAAGTGGAAGTTGGCGAAAGTGGAAGTTCCCAAAAAACATGGAGGCAAAAGGTGGGGCCAGGGTAGCATGGGGAGGAAATGGGCAGCATCGACACATGATTTGAAAGACTCTGAAGCCAATGAGTGAATGAAGTTCCACATAAGTGTAAATGCAGGTCGAAATTGCGAATTTTTGCATTGAAATTAAAAATCGCATTTATATTGAGCGTGTATTGAACTCCCTAAAGTAGAAACTCAGTAGAAAGCTACTCAATTTCCACTTTTGGGATCTTCCACTCTTGGAGATTTATGATTTATATTTTTTGAGCTATTCAAAATTTCATTGAGTGGAAGTTCCCTAGTGGAAACTCCCTAGTGGCTTCAAGTATTGTCCAAGCTGGAAGGCAGGTGGCGCTGTCGAATCTGCGTGAAGGCACCTCTTCACCGTGGAGAAAAATGTTTAATAATATATTGCCTTTCAAATAAAAACAACTTAAATTTGTTTTTTAAGTATGAAAATGCAAAGAGGGAAAAAATATTTTCAAAAATAAAACATAATTTTTGTTTTAATTATTTCATACTAAAGAGGGTAAGCGACGATATTTCAAATTTAATTATTACACTTCAGAGAATTAAAGAATTTTTTTATTTGGCTCAAGAAGAATATTTCAAAGTGTGGTGGCTAAAGAATTATTTTTCCGAGTGAGGTGGCTCAAGAATTATTTTTCTGACAAGGTAACATTTTTAGGTGCCTGACTGAGATTTTGATCAAATTTGGCATGTCAATTAGTATCCTGAAGTAGAGGCCAGAATTAAATTATTAGCTGCTGAAATGCATTTTTCACCCCCAAAAGAAGGTTTAAAGTTTGCCATTAAAATAGTCTGGCATCAGTTCTACACCAGATTGGAACCAAGGGTCAATTTCTGTCATATATAATGGTGCCATTTTCATTTATGTTTCGTTTTCATGAATATATAGAAATGAATTTTTAATTTTTTTTTAAAGTTTTCCTTAAAAAAGTTTTTTAAAATTTGGAATTAGTTCAGACCTGGTTCAAAAATAGTACGTAACTAGTGCAGAACCGGTTCAGCTGTTCTGGCATCAGTTCTACACCAGTTTTTAACCAGATCTAAACCTGATTTGAACCAAGGGTTAATTTCTGTCATATATAATGGTGCCATTTTCATTTATGTTTCGTTTTCATGAATATATAGAAATGAATTTTTAATTTTTTTAAATTTTTTTCGTAATAAAGTTTTTCAAAATTTGGAATTAGTTCAGACCTGGTTCAAAAATAGTACGTAACTAGTGCAGAACCGGTTCAGCTGTTCTGGCATCAGTTCTACACCAGTTTTTAACCAGATCTTAACCTGATTTGAACCAAGGGTTAATTTCTGTCATATATAATGGTGCCATTTTCATTTATGTTTCGTTTTCATGAATATATAGAAATGAATTTTTAATTTTTTTTAAAGTTTTTCCTTAAAAAAGTTTTTTAAAATTTGGAATTAGTTCAGACCTGGTTCAAAAATAGTACGTAACTAGTGCAGAACCGGTTCAGCTGTTCTGGCATCAGTTCTACACCAGTTTTTAACCAGATCTAAACCTGATTTGAACCAAGGGTTAATTTCTGTCATATATAATGGTGCCATTTTCATTTATGTTTCGTTTTCATGAATATATAGAAATGAATTTAAATTTTTTTTAAAGTTTTCCTTAAAAAAGTTTTTTAAAATTTGGAATTAGTTCAGACCTGGTTCAAAAATAGTACGTAACTAGTGCAGAACCGGTTCAGCTGTTCTGGCATCAGTTCTACACCAGTTTTTAACCAGATCTAAACCTGGTTTGAACCAAGGGTTAATTTCTGTCATATATAATGGTGCCATTTTCATTTATGTTTCGTTTTCATGAATATATAGAAATGAATTTTTAATTTTTTTAAAAGTTTTCCTTAAAAAAGTTTTTTAAAATTTGGAATTAGTTCAGACCTGGTTCAAAAATAGTACGTAACTAGTGCAGAACCGGTTCAGCTGTTCTAGCATCAGTTCTACACCAGTTTTGAACCAGATCTAAACCTGATTTGACATCATTAACCAAGAAATATTGCTACAATTCACTAAAAAAATTATCATAAAATTAATAAATAATATAAAAAAATGATAAAAATTTTAAAAATTAAAATTAATAAAAACAGTCAGTATATTTTTAATTAAAAATATTTATAACAAAAAATTATAAAGGAATATATATGTATTTAAATTCTATATTGGCAAGTAATGCAAGATATATGATACTAAAAATAATTTTGGTAGCGGAATAAAGAATCATACATCTAATTTATCAAATTATAACAATATTATCAACAGTTTGTATCTCCAAAATAATTCTCAAAATATTTGCATTAACTGATAAAGTATTTATCTCATTTGGTTTGTAAAGCAAAAGATAAAATGTAACAATAAAAGTCAGAATTGTTATACAAACTGCTGCTAAAACTTCTGGGCTGATGCGATAAAACTTGAAGAAATAGGCAAACAGATTTGGTGTTATTCGAGGCACGCCACTTTTGCATCGCACCTTGCCTTGGCCCTTGGTTTGGCCCTGATGCTAAATGTGTGTATTCTCCGAGTTTGCTCACGAGCAAAACGCAATTCGTAACTGGTCGTTATCGCGCCCATACAATGAGAGATAAAATAAAATAATGTGGCTGGCGCGCCAGAGTGCAAATTCGTACATGCAAAATGCTATTTTAAATCATGCCGTTTGCAGACGCGGCAAAGAATGAAAATGGAAAGCGTTTGAGAAAATCGAGTAAAAGCACAAGAAAGTACAAATAATGGGTCTTCTGCTGCAATAATACTCTGAGGAACAGACACGTTCCCACGTGTATATTTATTTAAACGTCTCTGCAGTTTCTTCAAAGACGTTCTATGAAATTCACGACGTTTCTCGGAATTCTTTTTCACATCAGACTTGGTTTTATATTTTTTCTCAGAAAGATAATAGAAATCATTGCTGGTTGTTCAGGGAAAATTTTAATTAGCAACAGTTTATTTTTTCTTATGCAGCTGCCGCGCGGAAACGATTTCGCTGCATTCCGCTTAGTAGGTAGAAATTAAATTTGCAGATTAATTAGAACGCAAAGTATCTCGCTGGTTGCACGTGTAATTGGAAAAGTTAATTAGGGCGCGAACCGCGACGCGCGTTCCACTTTGATTAATTTATGGCTGGCACCTCTCCGCGAGTTTGCAAGTTTCAGGTAAAGCGGCGTAAAATTCCGAGGGAGATGCATCCAAGTGAAGTAATTTAATTTGGTTTTAAGATGCTGAGCGATAAATGAACTTTTATAATCACAAAATTAACAAGCGGTGAAAAGTAATCCAAATAATTAACCTTGATATACAAGATGTGCAACGGATTAGAGAAAAATACATCAAAATTGCTAATAAATAAATGTGCTTTAATAAATAAATCAAAACTCATTTATTTAATTCCTGCCTTTCCAATGGAAGTAAAGGCACCTCATAAATTACAAAAAAGCTATTTTTTTTTTTTTTTTTTTTTTTGTAATAAAGCCTCAGATTTAATAAAAATTAAGCAATAAAGATTCATTTGGCTGCCCCTGTTGCTAAATTTAGAGGGGGATTTTGAATTTAAAGGTCTTTTAAATTGTCACATGATACAAGAACATCAACCAATTTCATTTCTACCACAGCAAAAAGAAAATTTTCATTTCACTAGGAATTAATTTCCTTCACTCCTGGGAAAAAAATTGCAATTTCCTCTCCCTAGGCTTATATATTTATGAAGTAGCAACAACAACAAAGAAATTAATCGACTGACCGTTTTCAATGTAGTAGGACGTCTCATTGTAGCGGTCATCCGTGAATCCGGGTCTTTTGGCCTTCAACGCTTTTGTTTCCAGCTTCGCCTGCAACAGAATTAAAAAATGATTGCTATTAAATTGTGTGGAAGTGAGTGGGGTAAAAAAACTGCAGCTGTTAGAGAGCTAATAAAAGAGTCATTTTGTTTTGTAATTAGAGCAAAGGACTTGTCGTCACCCGAGTGGGTCGTATAGATCTCGCAACAAGTCGCAAGGGTGTGCATTTTGCTGTGTCAGGGTGATTGGCTTATCGTGTAGTAACGAGCGGGCGTCGCGACTAATGCACTCTCAGCTCGTTTGCTGCGAAACGACCATCGGTTTATGCAGAATTAAGGCGTGAAATGTGCTTGCTTAATGGAAAAATGAGAGGGTCACTTAATGCCCGTCATTTCCCGTCAGCCCCGATCGTGATTTAAACCCGCCTAGACCATCAACGTTTAGATCCAATCAAAATTTTTTCTACGTTATTTACCCCCGTTTGCATTCTTCTAGTCATGGCAGGGCAAAAATTGGAATAAAAAATGCGTAAGCAAATTTATTTCATAATTATTTTAAAAGTAAAATTTACAACGATATAATTTTTCGTAGAGAGACAGCAGAAAATTGAAGAGAAATAAAATGCACATTTCAATAATAATCAGTGAATTATAACTCCATTAAAAAGCAATTTGTAGTTATAATTATTTTTGCCTCTGGAGAAATCGTAACTTAGTATCATGCAAATTTAAGACTCTAGAGTAGCTGTAATATATGGAGTATTTGTGCTCAAAATACACGTTTCAATATTCTGAACAAAATTATTATAAAAATTGAATTGTTTTTTAAAAAATATTTTGGAATTATATGTGTTAAAAATTTATTTTTGAAAAAAGGGAAATTAAATAATTTTTCACTGACACTTGTCAAATTGAAAAAAAAATTTTTTGAAAGAGATTGATTTTTGTACTAATTCTTGTCAAAATGATTTTATAGCTGCTGAAACATGTAGAGCAGGATATTTTTTTCTTAAACAATAAAAAAACTCACAAAAACGTATCAAGGAAAGGCCGAAAATCACTATATTTTTTTTTCATTTCGCATTATCAATTTTCTACTTAATAATGAAAAATATATTTTCTGCAATTTTTAATTTGCATGAAAACTGCAGTACTTTATTTAAATAAACAGCTTATTAGGCATACCACCGGGGAAAGTATTTGACACATTTAGATAAAAAAAAAAATGAGTCAAATTTTAACAAGCAATGATTGCTTCAACTAGTTCAACTTTAGGAAAGTAGCTGGTTCAACTTTAATTTTATTTTATGCAAAAAGGGGAACCAGAGGAGACCTCACATCATTCCGCAGTCAAAATTGTTATTTAACTTTTTGCTGATCTCTTTTTGGGTGACGTAGAAAATTTCAAAATATTTAGAAATTCGATAGTCAAGAGCTGATGTAAATTAATTTAGAGCATCTGTAAACGTTTCTTGCATACTTATTAACCCTCCTGTCAATTAAATTTGATACAATTATTATTTTATAATGAACTGTAGATTGTAGATTTTATTTCTTAATTAATTATTAAATACCACTTTTGAAACCCACCGATCTAACAATTGTTGGAATACATTAATAATTACCAATAGCAGTTTATTATCAACATTAAAATTTATTTTATTATTTAAAACAGTCAAATAAAACAACACATTTTTCTTGACAGCTAAAATATGTTGCATTTGATCAACTATAAATAAAGTTATATAATTGAAATTTTAATATAAAATAATTTAATTATACAAATAAACAATATTAAAAATTGCAGAGTATTTAAAAAAGAATTAACAAAAAATATTTTAGCGTGTTAATTTTAACTTTACAACATTATTTGTTTGTGAGTGTTTGTTTGCCCTTTGGCTGGACGCCGGCAATTTGCTCACTGCTCATCCCTGAGAGGCCTCTTTGCCGAGTGCGACGGGGTGCTGCAAAATCAATTACCAACGCAAATTTGCAAAGAGCACCCACCTAGAGCTGGTAGCTGAATTTATGTGCGAGCCGCAAGCAGAGCCAGCCAGCGCGGCGTCCTATTGATATTTATGATTTAATTGTTTTGTATTGGATTAATTACGCAAAGCGCGCGCGGTGCGATAATGGCGGGCGGCTCACTGGATTTCCAATAAGCAGCGCGCACACAATTTATTGCGGCCGCAGCGATATTTACGATCGCCGCCGTGGCTATCAATTTAATTCTTATCGCAATTTCCTTTAGCGCACTTTTGCCAACCGCAACTTTGCTTCTGATAGATTTCGCAGGCACACGCCGGCAGCTTTACGACTTTGTTCTAATTTCGCATTGCGAATTGATTGTTCAGCGGCAGGGCGCTCGCTTTAATCTCCGGCATCTGTCAGCTCAAGAATGATTATGGAGAGGATTATTATTTCGCGTCGAGGAAACCTATCAACTTCGAATAGACTTTTTGGTACTCGGCAAATTCTGATCCTATAAGCTTCGCTTGTTTTCGTGATAAAATTCAATAAATAACTTTGCTTTAAGCACAAGAAATGATAAAAATTGATTTAAAAATAAATTAATTTGTAGATTAACATTTATAAAAAAAAAAATTGTATTTCCTTCATATTTTTGCTGATTTTTTGGGAGAGTCTCAATTGTACTTCATTGCAGTTGCACTTTGTATTCACTTGTACTGAAGGTGCAGGGTTGGTGTCCATATTGCAGATAGATTTTGGTGCAAAAGGAAGGGCTTATTTCTCAGGTACCCTGATTCTGGGAGGCTTGGGGGAGTGAATTAATGTGAAATATTCGTTGCACTTGGTCGCAGTTTTATTTTGTGAATAGCAAAATGATGCAGTTGTACATTTATAAAATTAAAGTTTTGCAGTTGCATTTTTCAAATGGTTGCAGTTGTACAGAGGATCAGGTAAGAATCTAAATTTTTTCTATTGTTATCAATTTAAAACCTCTTGATTATTATTAAATAAACAAAAAAATTTATACACATCAGTAAACAGAGGCACCAATAATAAATTTTAATATTATTATTATTTATTATTGTTATAATTACTCAGAACTACTCATTCAATTAATCAACTTATGGCGAGCCGCTAAGAATTAGAGCAAAGCAAATCTGATCGGCTATAAAGTGCCCTGTAAATCCAAAAGACCGACTCAAATAGCCAGTGATAAATTAGAGGAACCGCTGAAAATAATCGGCCTGTGAATTAATTCGGTGAGTCGTGGCGAGCCAGAAAGCGGCGAAAACACGATGCGCTAAAGTGGCTTGGCAGCAAGATCAAAAATTCGTTTGTCATTCGAGCGAGTGTTGTTGCGCAAGCACGAGGCCGCTTTCGAAATAAATCCCTCGCGTGCGGGGCGGTGGGCGTTCTTTTGATTCACCGGTAATCACCGTAATGAATGGCTCCGATCCACCGCACAAAAGCCCAAGACGTGCACAAAACGGACGGCGCGGCGACCAAAGAGACCACTAAGCCGTCGGCCTCTTTGACAGAAAAGCGACGTCTGCGGCTGCCCTGCGTGTCCGGTCTTCGAAGAGGGCCAAAGGTTCATGCGCAACCAGACTTTTGACAGTGGAACTCAATTTCATGGCCAAGCAATTTATCAACTTGCAGAGGAAACAGAAACTACTAATTAAGATATTTTTCTTTTTTTAGGGTCGGGCCAAGACAAAATCTTGTCGGACTAAGCCTTTCATTTGTTCCTCTCTATTGTTTTTTAAATTTCATTATCATAAATGAAATCATAAACAAAATTATAAATTTAATTTATAATTTGTTTAATTTAATTGAATTCATTTTCTATTACTTTAGTTCATTCAACCTGAATTAGAAAACAATCACTTAAACCTGGTATATCATGATTAAAATTAACTTCGAAATAATGTTTCATCTTTTTAGAAATTTGATTTTGTTTTGAATTTCTCATGTTCTGACGCCGTGCCATAAATTAATCCGGCTCGCACCCCTCTTATTTCTCCGAAACGAATTCTATCTTGCACTCTCGCGCCATTCAATATCCTCTCTCCAGTTTCTCAAAGCTCTGCGTTCCCCCGAGGCGAGATTAAGATTTGCCCCGAACGCTAATTACACGCGCCGGGTGAAAAGATGAGGAGAAAAATAAAGAAGACCTCGGCGTTGAAATTAATCGATCGGCAGAAGCGGCTTCTGTAATTTGATTTCGATTGGCGGGGCTCTCCTGAGGGAAGTGAAAATGAACTTTAATTGGATTTCGGTTGACGGAGCTAGAGAGTGTTGAACGGGGCCAACAGGCGAGATGATGAGTGTCTCGGTTGCCGCGTGATTTCAAATTGCTTCAAGTCTTAAATACTGTCAACTATAGTTAGTCGATTTCAGTTAGTGGATGAATTTTCTGACTGAACATGGAAATTTTGAATGTAAATTTTAATGAAGTGAAAATTTTAATAATTTTTTGCAAATGATACAGGATTTTTGATTTTTTTTTTCAAGATGAAAATTGTTTATTTTCATTTTTACCGATTTGTTGTATTTTTCTTGCTCATGAAATAGGGTCGTAGACCGTGAACAGAACTAGTTTATTTATTATTATTTTTTTTCCAATAAAAAAGCCAGTTCTTTTTCAGTTCTATGGTCATATCTTTGAGTGCAAACTTATGTTCTTCAAAATAATTAAAACCGTAAAATTAATAGTTCTGATCTTTTATAAGAAAATAGTCACAAATACTGTTGAACTCAGTTGAACTGTTCCAGAAAATCTACGTAAGTACTCTTAAAAATGTATGGGTAAAAATATGATTAAAATTAAAATTATTTATTTTATAAAAAATATTCTGCTCTATGTTAATAAAATTCCTTGTAAAATTGTTGGCGAGAAATTCCAGTTGTTGCAAATTCCTGCAAAGAAGCGTTATTTTCTCAAAGTGCCTTCGCTCGCTATCTTTGGGGCAAAACATCCGACCAAAAACGTCGCAGCTCGTTAGGCGTTAAAATTTAATCATGGACGTCTCATGTACACGCCCTGCTTATGCAAACCACACAAAACGCATAGATAGCTGC